CTATGTAGAGTGAAATTAAGGGTAACTCGCAGGACTTGGCGTATCACTTTGTTTAAATGTACGCTCAACAAAACTAAACATTTGTCTTTTCAGTTTCACACATGCGCAGAGGCTAAGCGAAACCTGTCCGCCCATCCCCACTCCCATCTGGACCCACGTGTCTTCTGGGGATGAGCGGGGGTGGGGGGCGACCACATCTGTCGCGCTTTTCCTGAACCCCGAAAAATTGGCTGACAGAAGGCAGTACGGTTACACTTGAACAATCAAGCGACTAAGTGGAATTTTCCATCTTTCTGTGATCACTGAGGCGGAAAATTAGATAATCAGCGAACGAAAAATCCATGACATGAGCCAAAACGCTCTCACCCAAATAGCCTAGCCGGCAAACAGTAAGGCAGGCGACAAGTAAGCTAAGTTCTCCACTTTTTTAACAACAAATGCTTCGACGGGAGATGTTTGTCATATTCCATGCTGTCGGTAATTACAGAGCACGACAAGTCATAAGTCACCCAAGAGTAACTTGTGTGTTTTGTCCGCCAACCATCAAGTAATAAACTGCGCTCAACACGAACAGGTGGCCTCTCAAAATGGATCTACCTTAGATAGTTCTTTCAGTTGTTCAAGCCATTCTCGTTTCCACTCAGTCACTTATTCACAACGCAAATCACCCGTGTTTTGTTATTTCCTCAGGGAGATCTCCACCCAAGACTCATAGTTTAACGTGCTCTTCTGAATCGTTCTCGAAGTTTTAATGTCTAGGTTAGCGCAAAATAGCTTGATAATACACTTTTAAATGACTGACCAGGTAGAGTTTGCTGTTAGGTAGAAGTCCCAAGGCGAACGTGTTTCACTTGAGCACTTCAAAATCCGTACAAACTTACTACGCGACCAGTAACCAGACTTGTGGGACCGGCCACGGTTATCTGGAACGGTCCTCAAAATGCTCTTAGTGTCTGGACATGGAGGGTATTTCTTACCAACGAACCACTCAGCAAAATTTAGCTGCGGACTTCATTTGTGTTGACATCAATCCGGGAAATTTTATATCCTATAATTTTCACAGGCCCATTTTGTTGATACTTTTCGTCTCATAATCTGGTTGGGCGAATCATTAGAACTTCTACCGGTAGATTCTTGTGCTTGCCATTTAAGCACAAATGCGTTTCAAGTGTCCAGTACTTGTGTCAACTTTCCATTTTGGTTGCTCTACGTGGAAAATAAAAAAAAAATTAAAAAACCAGGGCCCACGTACTAGTTTCAAAAAACTGCCGTCAGATTTTTGTTGATACATAGGATTGATACGTGGCCTATCATTAAATGAAGTTATTTTACTTCCGTTGATTCCACGATAGGTCAGATGATAATAATGGTCTATATATTACATAAGCCTTGTTTTGCTGGCATGGCATAACCTCTATGCACTCACTAGAACCTGTACTTTTGAAGGCTATCCTTAATGCATTATCGAAATCTGATAAGTCAATTATTATAACCAGCACAATCCAACTTCTCTACTCAAAGGTCTTCTTCATTATGAATCATGTTACAGAGTTATTTTATTCCTACTGGAAATAATTTAAGTAATTCCGTTATCTCCTATTTGCATGTTCATGGATAAAGTTCGTGCTCCCCGTATACACCGCTGGCAGGTAGACTGAACACTCGAAGTGGACCTATTTGCTATTCCCTACTGGTGTTCATTTCCAGCTTTATAGGCATTGAACTTGGTGTGATTAAAAGATCTGATACACGCCTAGTAAAATAATGTTCGGCACTATTTGACCGTCAGCTTGTCAGCGGGGCTGCTAAGCACTTTCGCCTAGTTAGGAACATCAAGGCTGGAGGTTGGAGAATTTTCGATGAAAGACGAAGGTGGATCCTCGCTCCTTGGTTCGTCGAACCACAGAAAGGTTAAAAAATTACTCTGGGAAGAGTTTCGCCGAAACAAACCATTCTCTAAACCCGAGCTGACTTTGGGTGTTATTGCTGTCTTTACATAACCAACTCGTTGCAATGCATTTTTTCCAATGTATGAGACAAAGCGCTTTAGGATACAAGAACAAGGAAGTAATGGGACTGAAAATCCCTCTCTCATGGCCTATGCTAAGCGCTGGTTGCAATCTTCACTTTACTCATCTCCTGTAGAAAGAACTAAAACATGTTCTCACGTTCTCTAGTCTACAGGAGACTTCATTCGTGGTGAAATGATAATTTCTGGTATGTCAGTCATGATATACTTCTTCACAAGCTGGAAAAAAATAATATGGCGTTTTAAAAGGTCGTGGATCCAGGAAATTCTACCTTACAAGACTGGCAGGGATTTCAGATGAAAGACATCGCCTTTTGTGGGTTTAGTGAGACCTAGTTCTTTCTTCTCCAAGCAAACCTCCTTGGTGTCCCGTTGGTAATGCAAAGGTAGCAAAGAAAAATTCAACAAAATTACATCGTCCACTTCGTGCAGGGAGTTAATACGTCGATGCTTCGGGAAAAGCGGGGGCGTTCTTAATTTATGCACTCATTAATGCCTTCACTCATTCTAGTATGTCCTATTTAGTCCATCTAAAATCAATATTGTCACGTTGGAACTCAACATGCGTGGAAGGGTCTCCAGAGGCAGGGGATGTGCATTAAATATAACGTTGTGTTTCGCCGTGAATCCTCTTACCCTTAAGCATGCATTATGGTAACTCAAGGAGGAGTCAGGTAACCCATGCAGATTTCTTGAATCATTCTTGGTCGAATCTGAATTACCGACCATGAGTTAATAGAAATTTTGCCAATGTAGTTCTCTTCTAATTCAGTGATCTCAAGACACTTTGTACAATTTCACTGTCGCTTCATTCACCCCACCCCACATCTCAACGATCTGGAACCGCGAAATTCAAAAAATGTGGGTTTTTGCTGTTTTAAAATTAAACTTCGGACACAACTGAAATGCCTGACAGGGTTATCTGGGATTTTACACAATTTAATTTATTGTTCGCATCGAACCATGGTCTGGATATCTAATTTTGTGATAAATATTTTCAGCAGTGTAAACAGGTCAAGATATTTAGGCCTTGAATTAAGCCTGACTTAGTGGCCACTAACAGTCCCTGCGTGAAAATTCCAGCCTTGGGAGCGGGATTCGATCATGTGTTCCATACGAAAAGTGACACATTTGATGAAATTAATTAGGTTCCAGCAATGTGGAATCATCATAATAATTATATAAAATATCAACCTTAAAACTTAAGGAGCATCACAGTCGGTTACCAATCAGGCTGGTCAGCTTTGCGACAATTAATCCGAAATGAAGGTTCTTCTAATACACGAAGCAGTGGAATCTTAAATAACTTCTAATCGGCAAAATGTCATAATACACACCCCCTGTGCTTTGAGATTGCGAATAATTTAATCACAGTCAAATCTATTTAGTCACGTAGTAATCTTACTCCTTTGGTATGAACGAAGGTTTGCCGCCCTTTTCATCAAATTAAGAATTTTTGTAGATCCGTGACCATTACTTCACAAAGGCAAGATAAGTGCATATTTGTAATCCAAATTTTGCTGATTCTCTGTATCCTTGGAGTAGATCGAATTCATTCTGTCTGTGTGTCTGTTATGCAACATTTGGACAAAAAACGGACATCCAGACTGCATGGTCACCACAATATTAAGAAATATAGTAGCAATCATTAATTTTGTGCTTCCTACTCTTTAAAATTCTTAAATGACGCACAGTTTTTAAGTGGAAAATTTTGGCATTTAATGGAGTAGTGTCACTTGACAGGTTGATTTTACAATAATTTTATATTGTGTTCACCTGTAACGCGCCTGCCGAGCGTGGACCTAAATAGGGAGATGACTGTTAGCCCGTCCCTCTTAGATAGCCACACCATCATGGTTAGCTACCAGACACACGATAGAAGAATAGCTGGAAGAACCGGATGTATTCCATACTACCGCATACAAACTCAGAGGGCAAGAGCTTTGGGAGAGTTAGAGTGGGGAAAGGGATGGCCGTGAGGAGGGTTGGCGTTGCCCTCGAACTCACGGGCGTGCCTTGAGGAAGGCGAGGGTGTGGGAAGGGAGAGGAGGACAAAGAACAGGCCAGACCGGTCACACACCTACAAACCAAACCACACGCCTTGAGTTATATAAAACAAATTCACTATTTTTTTCAAATTTAAAGCCAGTAGCAAAGAATCGTCTGGCTTTTTTTCCCAATGCTAAAGCAATACTGGCTTCTTAAATGTTTTCCAGTGTTCAGGTTCGATTCATTATGGGTGCACCAAATTTTGTCATTCCTATTGTTTTGATAAAAGCAGCGACGTATTCATACTCACTTTGCATTTTCAAGACAAAATTGCTTGACAATTTTTCAAGACTCACACATGACCTGAGACTAACAATGAATACTCCCAATTAGGCTATACTCCTCTTCATTAGGCCAGAGGTGATTTCGTGACCTTCATTTGTTGCTAATTGAACTACTAAGATCATGAAACCCGATTACCGTTTCATTTCATCAATAAATATGTCGATGCAAGAGAGCAAAAGTTTATTCACGCTGGATGAAATAAAGTTGAACAACCGACCACAACAATTACACAAACATGTTCTTGCAACAATCTCAAATCTTTCTTAAAGCATATTTAGCTTTATTACCCTAGCATATTCTTAACGAAATTGGTTAAAATTCTTCAAAAAGCAAATAAATTCATGGAGATTGCAACCATCCCAAACAATCCAGATGTCTTTTACTTTTTTTTCACTTCGAAATTAATATATTTTGCTGCGATCTGAGGGCAATTTTAAGTTTACTTCCTTTAGACAAGGATAAGTGAGACAGACGACTTATTTTATAATGTATTCAGGACACTCGCACCGAAGCAAGCTACCTCCACTAAACCAATTATAATGCGATTGATCAAAGAAGTTGCCTACCTATCAGCACCTGTGTCGGATTTGATTGGCTTATTCTGTTCAGCTTTGTGTGTATTTCTTAAGCTCTGAGAAAAATGACAAAAAGGGGTTCTTCGTCGAAAAGAGTAGATAAGAAACGATCCCCAAAGCCAGAATTGCCAGCACCCAAGAAGCGAAAAATAGAGGAATTGATGAAACAATGGGTACAATGTGTTTACTTGTTTTTTTTGCAAGGGGTTTAAACAAAACCATGCAACTTGACTACAGTCATCTATTTTTCGCTCACTTCAGGTTGTGACAATCATCATTTCACCTATGCAATTCAATTCCTTAGTATTTAGGGCCTGGTTTGGCTAACGGTGCCGCACGCAGTTTTGACGGATTCTTGATTACATAACTTTCTCTGGTGTTGTAGCTTTGAGGTCACCGAAAACATTCCTTGGACGTCCGAATACTAATGTTAAATACAGGGATCGTAGCCAATGCTGCCGATTTCCTTAGGTGATGACGGCGGTATGTCCCCAAACACCATGTACTTAAAGGCTAAGGTTAATTACGCATTGGCTCAATGTTCGTGAATAATCCATTTCCATGTCCATTCAAAAGTATTGGCCCTATATACGCGTTATTCGTGATATCCACAGTAATTTAATCAATCTGTCATTCCAATATATTTACGAGGTGAATCCCGGTTACAACCCACTGACGCAAGATTTTGTAAGAGCCTGGGACGCGATCAGCATGTTTTTATTTTTCTCATCTATAGGATGAATTGGATAAGGAGGAAGAGAAAAGGTCAACAAATCAAAAAAGCTCGCCTTCTGATATGGATTTGAGTAGATCCTGCCCCTACCTAGACACTATCAACCGACATATGCTAGACTTCGATTTTGAAAAACTCTGTAGTGTCTCACTCAGCCACTTAAATGTTTACGCGTGTCTTGTTTGTGGCAAGTACTTTCAGGTGAGGCATGAACACAAATTGCTAGCCTATATGTACCAGTCGGATCCATTTATTACCGCTTGGTTTTTTTTGATTTTAGGGTCGTGGCTCAAACACGCATGCTCATACGCATAGTGTGGACGAAAATCATCACGTGTTTCTGAACCTCGAGACACATCGTTTCTACTGTCTTCCTGATAATTATGAAATTGTGGATGGGTCACTGGAGGATATTACTTACCTACTAAATCCAGTCTTTCAGAATCACGTAATTGCGAAGCTTGACACGAACGCTAATATGGTTCGGGCCTACAACGGTTTGGCGTACTATCCTGGTTTCGTGGGTCTGAACAATATCAAGGTGCGGTCCCTCACTATCTTGTTACAGTCGTACCTTGCTGTTCATAAACCGCAGATTACTTTTGCTATTGAGACAATCTTCGGCATACGCCAGTGCTGATAAATCCCGAAGTGAACATTGCGTTAATTTTTTAAAGTTATTTTGACCAATCACTCTCGACTACATCTTTCTCGTACTTGGTGCACATCTTAAGTTAGCCCGTAACTCATGGGGAGCAAAGTGCTGACAAACTATTCTTACGTATAAACTGCACTTTTTTAGCTTGTTGAAAACATTGAACGCCGGATCTTAATTTCACATTTTACTTTTAACGCATCATACACGAGATATGTCTAGGACTGCTTCCGGTGTGCGTATGTTTGGGGCCTAATTCCGCAATTTGATCCTCCCGCTATTTATTAGACCAGAATCGAATGCACTATTGGGATGGCACCTTAGGGATAAGTATTTGCACGCCTTCCCTGCAAATTCGGCCTCTTCCAATGTGCCTGTATCTGTCATAAACTTTCCTTTCCAGGCCAACGACTATTGCAATGTTATCCTACAATTACTGAGCCACATAAGTCCACTTCGTGATTTCTTCCTTTGTCCGGAAAACTACCAGGAGCAAATTAAGCGGGCAGCAGCAGGAGACCATCTAACTCTTCTAGTTCATCGATTTGGAGAGCTAATCCGCAAACTCTGGAATCCACGCAATTTCAAGACCCATGTCTCCCCTCATGAATTCTTGCAGGTACGTCAGTGAAGGTCTAGTGCAATTCGTGTATTTGTAAGAAGAAAATCTCAATGCTTAGATTACACCTGCTTGTGAACATGTATAAACTTCTATATCTGTCATGAGCTAACACTTATTAGATAAAATTTAGCAAAGCAAATCAAGCGAAAGGAGGACTTTTTAGGTCACAATTAACTTTGTACTGATTGACACGTAACTACTAACCCACAATTTTCCAGCTACAGTACTTTCGGGAACTACTATTTAGAATAAATGGGGTCCATGGACTTTCATGCACCACAAATTTTATTGTTCCTAAGTTCATGGCAGTCTATTTTGTAATCCTTCTTATTGCCATCTTCATCGGAACTAATATCTGTCAAATCGCAATACAAACTCTTTAGCTGATATAATTACATGTAGAGATCGTCTTCTGTTATGGTAAAGTGAATACTCTTATGGCTCTCATAGATAAAGAGATAAGTGTTTCTATCGGCAGATGTTACGCGATCTGTTCATTACCACTTTTCCGCATAGTAGTTGGAGAGAAACCTGTTAAAAAAGACATTTTGTGGTTGCACCAGCCACAGGATGTGCTTCACGATGGCGCTATGCAAAAAAATCTATTCTCTTTTCTAGGCCGTGGTGCTTTGCAGCAAAAAGCGTTTCCAATTCACCGAACAGGGCGACGCGCTTGATTTCCTCTCGTGGCTGCTGAATGCGCTCGATCAGACTCTCAAGCCCTCCGTCAAGGGACAGTCTACGAAACCTACCATAATAGGCAGCACACTTCGGGGTCGTATGGTCATCCGCAGTCAGAAAGTAATGCCTGTCAACATAACTCCCGAACAACAGGAACAGTATGCCACAGATCCCGAGTACATGGTAAGTGATGCACATACAATTCGTGAAGCGTCTCAGCCCCATTCGCACTATTGCCTTCATGACCTAATTTATGGTGACCCTTGTCAAATAACACGACGGCACTAGCACGACTTTTTAGTTTGGGCAAATTGAGTTGCCACTACTATTTTCAGTCATCGTCGGTGTTGATGTTCGCATGACGACATGGGTTTCTCCGTGATAGATTCATCCTTCCCGCATTTTATCAAACAAACGTGTTCATGAGGCTCAATATTTAAGAGTATTAACGGGTTTGATGAAATCCACACATAAGTCTAAACTCATTCTGCTTTGATCGTTGATGTATTAGTGCATAAATTCATGAGTTCCTTAGTTGCTGGGTGTGAGTAGCAAAATTTAGGATGCTGGTACTGCGAATGATAATGTAGTATTTCGGGTCTGCTTTCGACAAATGTTCACTTACTAAAATCACCCGGGTTTTGTGTCATTAATTCGTTAATATCAGTACTATTTGTATTAAATTCGGGGATGTAATGGCGATGTCAATAAATTTAGCATTAGTGCTAGAGGTAGTGGTGAATACTAGTTTGTAATACGCGAGCCTCTACCAAGCTACCACTGGAAGAATTGTGTAAATGCACTGTAATGACTACCACTACTGTCTGCATTTCTTATGTGCTTGTAGCCGCGGGTAGTGGAGTCCCGTTTCTTGTACCTCACGTGTGACCTTCCCCCTCCACCACTCTATCTGGATGAGTTCAAAGAGAGTATCATCCCCCAGGTTCCACTTTCTACTCTCCTAGCCAAATTTAACGGAGTTACGGAAAAAGAGTACAAAACCCACTGCGACTCAACGATGCGTCGCTTTTGCCTGAAAAAGCTCCCACCCTACTTGATTCTTTTCATGAAACGCATTGTAAAGAATGTCTTCACTCTGGAGAAAAACCCAACAATCGTTAATTTCCCAATCAAGAGTATTGATTTTGGGGAGTTGCTTGATCAGGATGCGCGCTCCCAACACAAGTGAGTTGCTTTGCTTTTGTACGATGTAGAGAAATGCCATGGGCCCTGACCGACAGTCTTTCAAGCGGCTGGTTTCGAAACGTGAGGTCCCGCAGGCATGTAGTTCAATTCTAAGTTGTTCGGTGGGGAGATCGTTAGTCCTTTAAGGAGTTGGGTGCCCTCGACCACAAAACTACTCTCACGTTTTCTGGCTGGTCAAGGCTGTTAAAATGGCAGATGGTTCCAGTCCGAATGCTGCCTAAATGGTTGCGCAAGGAACATGATGTTTTAGTAAATTGAAACGCTCTTTTTGCTTTTGAAAAGTATTCAAACAGATGCAGCTAATTTGCTTAGCTATATTGTAACGGTCTGAGGTAGCCTACCGATATGATCCCCAGTCTAAAGTGATTATCTTGGGAGAAACCCATTTCAAGTCGGAAGTATCGCTTGAAAGTGGTAAAAACTGAGGCTCTGCCAACCGAATCGTTTAGATGGAGCCTTTAATTGGATTGATGACGTAGATCGAAGTTCTTGCTGTGTCGTTCTAATTTCTGTGCATTGCCTTGAAATGCACGCGAAATGCGACAACCTAGGTATAACTGACCCTCCGTAATTAGTGTCTGGTCGAACAATCGTACAAAGTTTGTCTGCACATGACCATTTTCTTAATAAAATCCAACACTTCCGCCCAAATAACGCATGCTATTGAGGGTTGATTTTGATGCTAAAACTGTGGTTGACCTTTAAAGTTGTTATTAACCAATTATCTAGTGTCTCTTATTTAGTAAAACAAACCATTTGATAGTATTCACGTGCTCTTTGTCGAAAGATGTTACTAAATACCTTTGCAAATTCTCCGTTACAATTTAGATACACTATCTACGATTTGGTGGCAAATGTTGTTCACGATGGTCCACCAACGCCTGGTGCTGGTACTCATCGTATTTTCGTGTTACAACGAGGCACCGGAAAGTGGTTTGAGATGCAGGATCTCCATGTCAGCGAGGTACTTCCCCAAATGATCCCGCTCAGTGAATCGCTCATTCAAGTAAGGAAAGCTCTCATTATCTTATTGTTTTTGTGGGTGAATTAAAAAAAATCACCAATAACCTTGATATCTGAATGGAAAACGTCAGTGTAGGTGCTGGAAAATGGCCCCATGGTTTATGAAGTATCTTAATGTTTTGCACTGCTAGTCTCTACCACCCTAGCTTAGAGCCACGCATAATGTCCATGATGGGAGGCGATTGGCTTACGATTAATTGGCCAGAGGTAAACATGTCTTCCCCCTCAGTTCTACCTCAGGCGGTTCCGGTGATTCTCTTTACACTACGGTTTCATGCGTTACCATTATAGGGTACCTGGGCGAAAACCATACCCGGTGCTTTCCGCTTCCTCGTGTTGGTAGCGCGACACGATTGAGCTGCCGAGAAAACCTGACAATTAAGCCTCCTCACGCTTTTTTGCTTATAGGTTTGGGCAGTGAACAAGACGATACCCAACCCATTCTACGAAAAGGCGTCTTCCAAAAAGGAGGCAAAGCCTGCCAAGCCGAGTGGAGATGATGGGACTAAGCAGACAGAGGCGGAGGTCTGATTCAACCCTCGTGTACAGTTATAATAAAGCACTTTATACGTTCTTGGCCCCTGTCCTTTACTCGTAAAACGTTTTTTTTGGTTTATTGGCAATGCCCGCTTACCTGGACATTGTATGCTAGTTTTGGACACACACGGTCAGTAGGGGCACCCGGAATTGGGTCGGGTTGTGCCGGGTCACAGATTAACTACAGGCCGGTGGCGCGTTTACTTACTGCGTTTTACCCACCACGGCGCAACATGCAAAAGACGGAAAGGTTTGTCAAACCACACAGACTAGTTTCATAACAATTAATACGAGAATGCCGAATTTCCTCCTCCATACGGTTTCTTACGGACTATTTGACGGCTTCGACTTGTTATCATTGAGACAACACTAATTTCGGCTGTCTCAGCTAGGTTTTTTAGAATGGAACAGCACAGGAAGGGATTGGGTGTTGGTCAATGCATGGAGGATGTTTGTGAAAAAAAACGGAATAGGGCTAGTAACGCGGCATTGTGTACCCTCATTTGCGCGAGCGGGCACTGTTCTCACTGGATGCGTTCCTTGAAAATTTCCACAAACGACGGGATCTGGGTGTCTTTCTATAACAACACTGCCGTCACCCTGCAAGCGCTTCATCCCACTCAGGATTACACGCATTCAGTGGTAAAATTGTCAGCACAGCTCCTGGTCTTTGGAGGCCTGCGATGCAAACACGACTGGCAGGAGGCCTGTACCATCACAGGAGCATTTCGACGAAAGTTGAGCCATCACAAAGTGGCCCAGCGTGGACAGACGCTGGCATTATAAGGGCTTCTGAGGAATCCCATCAGGTCACAGACCGTTTTCTTTCCCTTTTGGGGTTTCAACCGGAAGCAATCGGCCATGGTGCAGAAAGCTCGCATGCCTAAATGTTTCCCTTGGTGAAACCCTAGTACATTAACAAAAATTAGAAAGCTTAATGACCCGAGACGCGTGAGCTACAGGCAGTCAAACTCGCCTAAGTGGCCAAAACACTTGCCTCTCCAAGCATTAGAGTTTAGTGCTTTTGCAGGTGGAGGTGTCGCATTTCCTAAATCTCAATGAAACCTCCTAGATACAGGATTGTGAACAAATGACCTCACGCCTTGGTGCATCAAATACTCTGCTGGTATCGTTTTTCAAAAAAAAACAATATTGCTACTTATTGGAATATCCATCAAACCTAATATTACACAAAAGCATTTCCTTCAACCCAAAGCACACTAGCCTTGAGTTTGTGTGGGTAACTGTGACCAATTTACTGCACATGGCACACGGAATAATGACAACTTGGACTTGATTGAAACGAGCAAGTACATATATTGGTCAGAGTTGCTCACGCGAAGGTCGTTCTGGGGCTGAAAAAACGACAACTCACTGAGTGTAATCATGTATGTAAAACCCTGTCTAATTAACAGAAACTACAGCTCCCACCTCAAAGCCGCTTTTAACTAAACCTCCTTCCCCTTGATTAAGAACCATGAAAATCGTACATAAGATGTATAAAAGCAATCCGTTTTCACACAAAACGACCAAAAGCCATTAGTCACCCATTCGTGCCTTCTTTGCCTCTGATTCTTCCACAATGTTGCTGCCGTTTCCTATCACAAGGGGTGGCGGCGGCGGCGGTGGTGGCATCATAGAGGAAAGAGGGGGTGGAGGCGGTATCATGCCTCCGGGAGGCATAAAAGGAGGAAAGGCAGGCGGCACAACCATGCCACCCACTAATCCCGTTCCACCAGGCGGGGGTGGCGCTCCACCCATTATGAAGGAGGTCGGTTGAGGTGGAGCCATTGTTGGAAGCTGCGCTCCAATCTTAGCTCGTTCGGTCTCTAGCTGCTGTTCAGCCTCAAAATGCGCCCGTACGTCTTCCGGAGTAATATAATCTTTTGCTCTCTTGCTCACAACCTCTGCAGAAGCTGCGTGACCATCCCAAATTAACTTATCTGGTTTTGCTTGCTTTGCACTAGATGCTTCTTCGGCAGTTTTACCGATCTGTGTTTCCTCTGATCCCACTCCAAATATGTCCGAGCGACGCTGAGCAAGTTGCTTTAGATTGCTGTCGATCAACGCACCCGAAGCATATACTTGGTCCTGTTCACGCTTTTCACGAATTTCCCGGTCCCGTTGTTCCAACCACTTTGGATCAAGAAGCCCCACGCGGATGTGCTTCGGCACCTGGCTGGCTGGGATCTTCTCCCCAGTGAAGGGAGATACAAGCAGGACCTGATTTTTCTGGGCTTCCGTCACGTCTCGATGAGCAGTGGCGGCCTTGGGGTCATAGTCGTGACGAATAAGTACTTGATCAGCAGAGGGTGGTGCAGGGCGCGCAATCTTTGGTAAAGCTTGAGGAGGCGCTGGCGGGTGTTCGACTAGCATAGTCTCCTCTTCATCTGACAACTCCATGTCCTCCCCACCGGCATCGTCAATTGCATCTTCATGCTGAAGTTCCTCTATTTCAGGGGCTGCGGTAGCTACAGTGGATGGTTCCTCGGTTTCCTCATCTAGGTCCTCCTCCTCATCCTCCATGTTGTTCAACTCAGCTGGAAGGGCATCAAAAGAGCCTGGAGGTGGTGGAGCGTTATTGAGTGGTTCATTTTGTTGTGGAAGGACATCGCCTCGTTCATCAGCAATTGTGCGAGCTCCAACTTCCTCAGGCGTGGTGGGCATTGGAAAACTGCCGGGCTCGTTTGGTTGGAAATCTACGGTCTCGACAACAACAAAATCGTGCCAGTCAATTTGAGCGTAAGCCATCCGCTCCCGTTCAGCTGCCTCTTCTTCCTTGCGCCGTTGGCGCTCCTGGTACTTGTGCCATTCTACACGATATTTGACACGTTCCAGGACTGATTTCGGATTTTTAAGCTCTTCCTCCAGCCCACTAACCAAATCACGTGGAGGAATAAGAACTTTAGTGTATTGTTCCACCAATTTTGTGAAATAACCAAACATGTTGTGCTGGGTACGTAGGAAGTCAAACTGATAGTTCCTCTGCTCACGATTCATTAGTTGGGCAAGAAACTGCTTCCCATTACGTGAAACGAATTGAGCAGTTAGCTTAACAATGTCAATATCAAGCGCACTTATGGAAGCTGGATCGTGCACAAATTCGAACTCTGGAGGGGGTTCCTTAGGAATAAACGAGTCCTGGATGAGCTTCGGCGCATCTTGTCCGAGGCGAGCCGCTGAAGGCACGGTCACTCTCATTCCAATAGATTCGACAGCTTTGCCTTCTGTAAAATCTTTCACTTTGTGCTGATAATAGGCATGATAAGGGTCCGTGGGGTTGAGGAAGTTGAACTTGGGATTATTAATCTCATTTTGCCGAATGCGACACTCGAAGTCAGGTCCATTGCGAGCAACAAAGCTTGCAGTTTTGTCAACAATGTTGCGGACCTCCGGAGGTGGATATATTATCCCAATCTTGGGGTTGATGGGCTTATTTTCAGGGGCCACTTCAGTCATAGCTAGTTAGCCTAAAATACGCAAAGATTGAAGAAATTGACCTATAAATTAGAGGACTAATGACGATTAAAAATACTAAATATGCAGAACGTCAATGCACTGTTTCCATAATAATATGCTGCAGCTACTATGAGGTTCAGATGACCCTAATATGTGATGGTAACGTGAACTAAATCCCCATAAGACGACGATACGGGGCAATCATGCCGAACCAACGATGTTGATCACTTCAAATTACGTATAATACTTTAAGTTTGCCATGTGTAAATTTAATTTTTAAATGGAAATAAGCTTCCGTCTGTTTACGGGAAAAGGGTAATGGACGACAAAATAGGACCGGATATGTTATGCAATGGAGGCGGAGACTAAGCAAATTTTTAACATGATTAAATAGGGTCTTCGAAACGAGTAATTTAACCACTGACATTATTTGTAACAGGATTTAGAGCCGATATTAGAAAAATTAGGGTCATAACTCAAGTATTACAAACAAATTTACAATTCACGGTAAGCAAAACATAACTGCAAGAGTCCTCAGGGATCAACAATCCTATGGCGTGCACCAAAAACTAACGGTTTCTTTTGGGAGGGTATTATATTAAAATAACATAGAGTATTGGGGGATTCAGTCTAACCTAAAACAATTCACAACGGGAGATCAGCATCAAAACATCCAAAAAAGGAATCAAGACGTATTTATCTGCTCAGTACAAATGATCCTGTAATAAAGTCTAAAAGAATAGATGAATATAATCTATAGCACAGACGCTGGCACCTAAACTTATATTACCGAGCACAGTGCTAGAAAAAACATGAGTTAGTTGAAAGTTTCCATAAAAACAAGCATTTGATATCATAGGCTCGGAGGATAGTTAAGAGTAAAACAGCCAAATAAAAGATTCTGCGTGACTATTTGCAAGATTCATGTCGCAGAGTAATAAGAAGTGGAACAGGGTTGAGCATTAAACATTCCGGATTAAGAAGTCAATATAAATCACAAGACTACAAATGTGGAGTGCCGGAAAATTTCGAACACCGGATTGGAAAGCAGAATTCGAAACGATATCCATTGAAAACCAAGACTATGACTGGGTTGAATGGACAGAGATCACATTGGAGGGCTAATTACTTAATTTGGACCAATTTAGGCACCGAGTTTCGGTATTTGCTGTCTGCTTGAAATCAAATTTGCACTATGCAGTCACAAAACACGGTTTTAAATGGTAAGCATAAAAAAAGGACATTTTTGACGACCTCCGTGAAAAGGGAGACAATCTACAAACGTAAATGAGAAATTTGAAATGGTGGCTCCTCAAAGAACAATATGACACAAGTGTAGGGACATAATGTTACTATTTTATTTAAAAAAAGTGTTTGAATAAATGTAGAGGAATTGAAGCTATTTCAAAACTACAAGAGTACGTTAACCACATATTACTTGCAAACGGATTATTACTGGAGTGAATATTCACACAGCCACAAATTTATTACAGCCAATGAAAAACAGCTTAAGCCGGAGCGTGTTGACGGTGTTCGTACATTCTTATATAAAAACAGCCAATGATAAGCAGGTTGGTGCGTTTTTTAAACCCAATTAATCAACTGTTCTCAGTTCTGAAAAATCAGGTTTCTGAAGGTCTTGATCGACAACGGTTGGAGCTTGTTTTATTTATATACAAATAGACTTGGCCATCGATAAGTGTTCCTGAACTTATATACAATTTAATATTTAGGAAAAGTTTCTTTGTTTTTAGAAAACGCAAAAAAGAAATGGATATTACTGCTTTGAAATGCATGGGTCGATAGGACGCTGGTGAAAATTTTCACTTGGTGTTTTCTGAGGGAAATTTGGACGAACACAGCAGCTCTAATCTAGTTGTCTGATGAATGAAAAAGGCCACGCAATACTGGCATAAATTACAATCAAAATTTATTTTCAAGCAGAGTTTCTGTGAGGCGATTGAAGATTACGCTGCAAGTCAAGTCAATTAACAATAACTCGTTAATGCTGCAACCCCATTACCAGTTTGAAAACGATGTCATTGTTTGCTTTACCATAAGTTACCGCATTACTCTTTCATACAAAATATCAAATTAAATTTATTTGACCAAACGAAATAATTATGATATATCCAGATGAGCAATGTAGCCGGAATGAATGCATCCAAATAACAAATGTCCAAATGCGATAAAAAGTTATAATATTGCCAAAAATAACAAATAATGCAGACATTATTTCTAGAACATTTGAAGTTTAATAAATAAAGAGAAACTTTTTGATTACATCCTAAGATTAAGAAAACAAATTCATGTATTAATATAACGTGCTGCCTTATGCATCCACGAACTACATGGTATAATTTTCTCCTAGCAATTAAATTAGAACTTTGAACTAATTCGTAAAAGTAATTTAGAGTGATGTGCAGTTATTTTTCCTGCCAACCCGCCTCGAATAGACAAAAATTGCATTTAATGGCAACGGCTGTCTATCTGGGCATATAATGGGAGTAGTAATTTTTGGCTTTCTGTTACAATATTGCATTTCATGAATTGATAGATTTTCATCAGCCTGGAACCTCACTACTCTAAAACAACTGCATTCACTGCTTTAATATTTGCACTTTTTTAGTGTATATTGCATTCATTTTATCTTTAGACATGCATGAAATGTCGGTCAAATCCTAGCAATTTAATGCTTGAAAGTCCTAGCAGACATGCACGGCGGACAAAATAAGAAAATCTATAATGTACCGAATTTGACGTGTTAACCTAAATTATAAATAGCGCGACAAACGTGATTATTGAAATCTAAAATTGCATAAAGCAACTTATAGTATAATGAATGACAACATCTCGGTACCAAATATTTTTTACTGCTAGTATCATGAGAAATCTATACAATCTTTCAAAATGTGTATGAGTCATTCTAAAGCCCCATTGTATTAATTTGAGATTGTTTTTATCATAATGACATTGTGCTTTTGGTGAGGTTACAGATTACTTGCTCTCTTGCATCTTTGAATAGTGTATTTAATGTAACTTATTTGATATCATGGATAGCGGATCGACGAATCCTGACATTACCCAGACATGCATTGAACGCAAGCACCATCGTCAATTGAATAGCAGTTTTCACGTTGCTATTCAGGACTTTCTTCACGGAATAAAATACTGAATTATCAGATGTGTATTTTGAGTCAGCTTTTTAGTATCCTATAATTCTAAAGGATCATTTTTTTGTAGAAAATTTGAATTTAGGTGCTGTTCGACACATATCAGTTTAGAGTTTATATTGGGCATTCATTGTGTAAGGTTGATGAATATATTTCAAATCCTACACTATAAAACTTAATATGTCTGAATACCAAGGTGTGCAAGCGTTTTCATTGAATTTAGGTTTATGGGTACGTTTTAAAACTCTGTCCTTTCGCGCCTTTCCCAAGTCATCCAATCAACACGCAAGTTTGATTTCTCTCGACGATCTAACAGAATAAGGTTTCACTATTTCTTAATTTGATACGATTGACTCTGATTTAGTTTAGACTTGTTTGCTGCTTTTTTAATAGCTTTAGTTTTGATAAAAGCAAACGCTGTCATTCTTTCAAAATTTTTTCATCATATGCTCAGACTCCTCTTTTTAAAAATGTATCTCATGGTTCCTGTCTTTTGTGAAGTTTCAAGTGACCAGCAATCTTAACAGCACATTTTCTTCTTGGTGTTCTAATGCAAATAGTCTACATGTGTTTTCTTCTATAACTTCTATAACTTCTTCTTCCATATGTTTGTCTTCTTTCCTATGGTATTGCAAGGTGGGATACATTACCAGAACATGGTTTTGACTGTCGGATTTTGTGTCGACACGCCCAAGTAGCTGTACTTTGCCTAGTAGTGGTAGTGTTCCGAATTTAACTGTGTCCTTATGTGAGGCGCTTGAAATCCATATAGTTTAACGAAGCTGTTGTTAATCGTGTTTATTCACTCCTTAATTCAACCACTCCATCCTCCGACACAGGGTTCCGTTTTCCGCAGTATGCTGCCAGCCGCGCGGATTCTCGACTCTCCCCTTACTCTCACGAATATTTGTCTTGGATTATCCTCATACCTAGGTCTTGATTGTATCGAATGTATGACTCACGCATCTGAGGCATAAATACACACGCGATAATGCCATCCACGATACAACAACACCAATGTGGTTGAGGTCTGAAGTAAACGATTGTGTCCACGTCCTCTCTAGTCTTTTTCTTCATCACTAATATCACGGAAGCATAATCGGGTCAGAATTAATTCAGTGGCTACGGCGTGGTTCAAGACCGCTTGCTGGGGGCCACAATAAAGCGTTTCATTTTAATATTCCGGTGTTGCTTTGTTTCACCACTGTCTTGATGCAAACAAGTTACATCTATCACACATTTTGCTGCGTCTCTGGAGCAAGGACGCTCCCACTCGATATTATGCAATAATTTTTTTGTCTAGTTTATGATTTGGGTGAGCTTGTAACTTAGTTACTTATGACTGAATGTAACAGCTCATGGCAAGTTCATTGGACCCTATCGATCATAGTGCAGTTGCTATGTACTCGAATTAAATGCTTCTCGTTGCAATCTCTAGTTTCCTGCATTATTTTTATTCGTGAGTGAATATCCTCGTTTAAGTGCGCGGTGTTACGAAGCCACAATGTTTTGGTCCGTTTACTTATTATTTGTATCTTTCATTACTGAGCATAGATCTTTGTACATTTAGCTTCGAATGAATTGCCTTAACCAGGTAAAAGGTCTATTGTGTTTGATGATCACGTTCACGTACCGGTGATTTGTAGTATTCTTTGCTTCGTCAAGTAATATCCTCATTAGCCAAAGACTATACGTTCATGAAGAACGTATTCTGCCTTTTGTCGCTTTGGTATTTCGGCCGGACCAAATATCGATACATTTTTAGTTTAGTGCACCTGTCCGCTCCTCATGATTCGGCTTCTTCCATCTGCTCTCGCCTTATTTCTGTGCATATTCAAAAGAATGCAACTACTCATCGCTTGGTGTTCTTGTAAATGCTTCGACATTCAGTAGAAATATCACCATATTAATTCCAGTGATGATTAGGTACTATTGTTATATATACTTCTCTTTTTTTCTCTAGACACATGTTTCGGAGGCCTCGTAGAGCTTATAGGGGGCCTCGGAAAGATGAATCCGATGAGGAAAGTGAAACTACTTCACCAGGTCCGGTTCCCAATCCAGTAAATCCCCCACAGTTGTCAGGAAGCAAGTCAACTCTCAGCTTCGGAGATGACCTTGAAGGCACATTGTGTTTACCTTTTCTATATGCGCCTTTATAGAACCCGAAACTTTTAAAGTTAGGCGTCCCGCTCATAGTCGACGAGTGTTAAAGCAACTGAAGGAGGGTAAGAGCTCTCTGAAGTCGACAACTCCGGAAGTGGATTCTACACGAAAAGACCCTCCACCAGAACGAGTTCACACGGTAGGTTTATGCTTTTCGTGTGTGCCTTATTCGTCTTCAGTATCCAGCCACACTGAATGAGTCACCTCACAAGGACAACATGACAAACGAGGACGAGATCATTAAAGTGAAACCATTGCATCGTACTTCGTCAGAACAATTTTCCTCTATGCTCAAACGTACGTAAACTCCGATATTTTGGCATTTCATGCAATACCATCTTGCAATTCATACATATGTGTATTTTAGAGGGTGTGATTCCTGATGCGAATACAATACACATGGTTCGCAAACAGCGACAGCAAGCCAAGTTCCAGCTGGAAGCAGAGGAGGAGGGTGCATCACCTCCTCACGTAGCAATCAATGATGGTCGTCGTCTTGTCAGGTACGGCGCCACAATTATTAATTGTCTGATGAACACAGTTTAGTCTGAAAGTTACTGGCAAAATTTAAAACCAAAACGCCGAATTAAATATGCCCCAATCCCATTTTCGTCTGTTACTCGCCAAAATGTATTTTTTTACTGAGGAATCTAGATTTTCGACGGCTTTGGGAGCTAATGAGGTTTGGAGTTGGAAACTCATTTTATCTAAACAGACCTGAAAGCCGTTGAAATTAGTAAACGCCCACATGTTTCACTCAGTTAAAATTAATGTCTGTTCAATAACATCATCAATCTTTTAATTAAGTTCGTGTGAAGTATAAAAAACTTAATTGTCCGGGTCATTCACGCATGAAGTTGAAGGCTTTTGTCGTCGTTTTAACGAAAAACCGGAGCGTGTACCTGGAAATGCCCTCCTGGTGATATTCTTGAAGAGACATACGGGTAATTTTCGTGCCCTCCTTGTTTCGGTGGAGGAATGAATGACGTTAGAGAATGCTAACACTTCCATCTCTTTTAATGCGTCATCTTTGTAAATCGCACGAGCCGATTTGCACGGAAATGTTGTCGGCCGACTAGGCATGTGGATTCAGGTCTTCCTACCGCAAAACAATCGTGGCGTGGCGTTCTCTCGCACAAACCCCCGACTCAGTATCCGGTTAGTATAGAGTTTTGAAAGAATCATATTCGTGCGTAGACAAATCTACCCGAAGCGGGCGAAACACAGTATTTTCGGTCGGTTTTGTATACGCCAGCGCAGATTGAAAATCGTCACTAAAGTAAGATGCCCAACCACAGGGGTTTACTTGTGAACTAATTTTGGCTAATTAGATATTATACTGGGGGAAATTTGTTGTAATTGGTTATCGGATTTGCACAAATTAGGCTCCATTAATTTTACACTGCTTATCCATTTTTTTGTAAATGAGCTTACATCACAGTGTCCTGTGAATTTTGCACGAACTTTTATTTTTAATAATTCTGATGCGGTTAAGTTCATCAGGGTTAAATTAATCCCCTGTAGTTTAGGACTTTGCGCACTGTTGGGGTGTCTTATTAGGTATTTTTTAATCCTTAATTCGAAATTCTTCTCTTCAACCACAGCATCGTCGCTATATTTGCACCGAATTCAAATCAAACCGAAATTCATTCGTCTTCACCTGTCAAATTAATGCAAACTGTAAATATCCATTAATGTCAACTTTCCATCGGGAACGAATTTCGTTAAAAACTCACGTAGCTTTTGCCTTTTTGACCCTTCGAACCGTGCATTCACACGTGTCTGCGCCCACTTAATTAGGTGTAAACCCCATTCTTTTGGTGGTAGTAGATCTAGCACGCACTGTTGCTTTCCTGGAGGTCGTTCTTAAGTCAAAGCGCCCACGTGTTTCCCTGGGATATCTCATCTTTTAACTGCAGTTAGTTATGTAGGAGAAGTTCAGTTTATCTTGCGGAGGATGATCCAACCTGTGGAATCAGTGTTTTTTATTGCATGCGGTGGCTAGTCTGATGTCCTCTGCCTATCAAGACGAGTAAAACCGAACGGAGGTCTGAATATTATGCTTATTCGCTCTACAAGTGTTACTGACAACTACGAACGATTTAATCCATTTGAATAGCAGCATCAATGCATGATTGTGAAACTTTCGGGTAAATGTCTACAATTAAAATCACAATGGACACCGCCAAGTACGCTGAAATGTTCACAGCGTGTAGCCTTGTTAGAAGCTGGGTGTAATTGACTTTGCTGCATGTTGGAGTAAATTTTCCCCTATCCAAGGGAAGAAGACGACGACGACGCCGAGGAAGAGGACTATGAGGGGGGCGGCAACGTTTACAATCGCCAGCGGCCCGCCTTCACGGTGACTGCCGAATACCGCGACCCAAACAGCCGTCGTCGTGTCGACATCTCGAGGGGCCTCCAGCGTCGCAGGGAGCGGGAGCAGCGCGAGGGCAACGCCGACATCCGGTCGATGATTGAAGCCGTTGAAAATGAGGAGAAGAAGAAGCTTCAGGATGGCGAACTGGAAGCGGAGGAGGAGGAGGCGGAAGATGCTTGGGAAAAGCAGCAAATTCAAAAAGCCGTCTCTAACAAGGTAGTCAGTTAGACATTGGAATTGCGGAGCCTCATTCACCGCCACTCTCCTCACCTAAAAGCCGTCTTTAATTTCTAGAATTCGGCTGTCTTAGAGGCTCTTGCCCCGTCGCCGCCGCCGTCGTCTGACGGCGGTCTTCTTCCCAAGCCCCTTCGCCGTGCAACTGACTTTGGCGATGTCACACTGGCCTCTGTAAAGGCCACTCTTCAAGCACGGTAATGATTCCTCGTTTTCTAATGCATAAAAGCACCAAGGACCTCGGCTAGGTGACACAAGCGATGACGGTTAGCCACCTACATTCGCAGTCACTGACTTGTCGAAATCGTTGCATCATTGGCAGTTGTTTGTTGTAGACTGGACAAAAAACGGGAAGCGATGCTGGCAAACAAGTCAGAGCTAGAGGCAGCGCAGGGCGATTTGGCCCGCGGCCGAGTCGCGATTTCAGATTCGCGCTTGAAGTTGCCGGAACTTGCGAACGCACTAGCCTTTTACATGGAAATCCGCGAATACGTTCGTGATGTGATCTGCTGCTTAAATGAAAAAGTGTGCTCTTTGTGTGCTTTATCCTATGTTCACATGTTATTCTTCGATTTACACTTTTTTTTTGATAAATTTCAGATGCCGAAAATCGAGTACATGGACAGGAAATCTATCATCTTGTATCGTGAGCGTGCTGACACCCTAATGTCGAGGCGACGGGCTGACGTCGGGGATATGGCCGATGAAGCGGCTGGTAGGTATTTTCGTAAAATTACATTTACTTTGTTTTAATAGTAGTGTATCGTAACAATGGTTATGTTATAGGCGTTGTTGAAAACGGTGATAACCCTGAGGCAGCAAAATCAGCGGAAGCTCGGAGGCGACGCAAGGCCGACAGAGAGGCTCGACGGTAGGCACTGTGTTACTGAGGATGTGTCCTATGCAACCGTTTGTCTGAAGTTGAGAGTGCGATCACACAGCTTAGGTGCACTTGCATTGGTTCGCGCTGCTTTTTCATTGCATTAATAGCTGTTTACCAGCCTTCGAATAATCTCACCTGGCGAAACGCAAACTTGTCTGGCACTGCAATCATCACTGACGCACAAAATTACTCCTCAGCAGTTGCTATTTTTCCTTCAGTACACGACGACGACATCAGAGTAAGCCCGATGAAGTCCAAAGTAAACGCCTGGAGGCAACAATCGGAGTCGTTCCATCGTACGAAGGAGTTAGTTCGGACGACGAGGAGCCCCAGGCCGTCATTGCTAGGCGGGCGGCCGATTTCGGTAAGAATGCTCTCACTGACGCCCGAACTTTTGTTTTTCGCTTGTAAAACACGACACTTTGCTCAAAGCGCGTTCGGGTGTACGCGGCATAACGCGCGATCGGAAGCGTGGTTCAGGCTTGGAAACGGATAGCCTCGTCATCCTCATCGTCGCTGATATAGGTCTCAAGCGCATGCATAAGCGGGATAAGTGTTGCTATTATAGACATAGAAAATGTTTGTTATGTGAAGAATGTCTGCGAAGGCACTGTATTATGAAGTGTAGGTCCAGAGAGGAGTGAATTAGCCATGGCGACAACGTGCCTTAGCAATCACTGGTAGCCTGCTTCAGTCCCATTTGGTTGTGCACAAGGGAGTTTGCTTTTGCCGAGCAGACGTGCTGAGGGAATACGGACTGGAAAGGACGGTGCTTCCGATGCTCGCGAATTCGAGGTTCTTCGCTGTTCACTGCCTGCATAGTTTAGCGCGTGAAAGGCTGCACTGCGGTGAGTATTCAAATGAATGCACGTTTGGGAAGCGGTATCGAGCCACAAGACGTTGACAGAGCCTTGTGTACTTGATGTGTTACTTGCCCTTCCTCAGAACCAAACGTCGAGGTCCATTCAAATCCTGTTTTCTTGATAAATGAGGCCTTTTGATGGCCAAATCCAGTCGCTTCATGCTTCTTTGGACGCGTGTCCGTGCGAACTGGGACAGATTTTCTAATCGTGTCACCCTAACTGGCTCAGTAGTCCGGTACGGAGATAATTTAATTTAAACAAACTTCGTATTGTGTCTTTTTCTATTTTTTTCGTCCTCATGTCTTTCTGCGTGAGGTTACAGCTCTCCATTGCGCACACTCTCACCCCCTTTCGCTTAAATTGTTGAAAACGCATTCCTCACTGATATATCTACGCGGCGCCATTAACTGGATGCTGGGTTTATGCAGCAACTAGCTATATGGGCTGTCCTAATTTCTAATTATGCAAAAACGTAATAAACAGCATGACAGTATCAGATTTTTCAGGAGCTAATTTGTCTAGTTGATTTCATGCACCTGGATTTCCTCTTTTTAACAGACTCTCTCAAGTTTGTATGAACACACAGCCAACCATTTGTTGTCAAGGTACTCAAGAGCCTTATCTTCAAAATCACAGCCTCCAAGTTGATTCATCTATTTACGGATAACCGGGCCGAATTCCTAAACGTGGCCCCATTTACGGATGTTGTATTATTACGTAAACGTGCAAAATCCCTTTATTGTACTCTGATATTTCACCAGCATCTAAACCCGAAAGCCCATTTAGGTGCGCACTATTCGTGTTAACAGGGGCATGGGTGAATGGGACGTGGTGCGTCAAGATTAAATAAGCAAGTCTGTTCGCCATGCGGCCGAGGTCGAATTTTCATTTTCTTGTTCTCCGAAGTAGATTTTGTTGAATGGGTGGCTCAGACGAGTTTGTGAATGGTTTTACCGACTCCTATCAAAATATTTTACTTGGCTCCTATTGGACCAGTTGCGATGTGAAGCACAATAATATCCAAAATCGACCTGTTTATCGCCTTGATGTAGCTGTGTTAACCGGGTTGACTGTGACTATACTTAGAATAGTATAATAAAATGGCTACTTTTGTTGAATGCCCGTTGTGCGTATTTTACACTTATTTATTGCTTGCACTTCCTTTGCCACTGCAGCGGATATAAAGAACGACGCGGAGCACATCTTTGACGATGTGGTGGAGGAGTTTTGTGCAATCGCCTGCATTCTCCGCCGCTTCGCCGAGTGGCGTGAGAGGTTGGCGCGAACCTACGCACAGGCCTACATCCCAATGTGTCTGCCCCAACTCCTGGCTCCCCTCATTCGCCTCCAGGTGCTCACCTGGAACCCTCTAGAGGTGGGTGGCACTCTCGTTTGGCGTCTGCCACTGGCGCGTATTGCATGCCACTAATTATGAAATTCATTCACAGCACTACATTTTGAAGCGATCACTAGTAATTGTTCAAACATAGTAATTGCCGATCTTCGTCTCTTGTTGAGTCCTTAGTTTTCAAACATGGAATATTTCAGCGCATCTTTATTGGTAATGTTGGATAATTTCGTTAAGCTTAACAACTTGGAGATGTTGGTTTGCAAAGGGGGACAGCTTCGCTCTAAGCTGCAGTCACTGCAGGATGCAAATTTTTAAAGCTTTACCTAGACACTTGTCTGCAACTACTTCCTGCACTACCTGTTTTCTTGTCGGAGCTACTCATAATGCGCATCGCCCATCGGATTTTTTGTAGGCCAACTGCCCCTCCTTCGACGAGTATCCGTGGTTTGGATGTTTGTTGGACCACTACGCGGGTCTCAGGCAGACGGGCGGGGGAGCGCACGAGCACGCGCCCGCCGGCGACGAGGCCCAAAAGGTCCTCCACTCGCTTGGCACCTCGCCTGACCACGAACTCTCAGTGATTCCTCTGGCTATCGAAAGGGTGCTTTTGCCAAGGCTCACAGGTCTGTTCTTGTCCAGCCCCTACCACCTCTATGACCACTTGCTGCAGCATTCTATCACTGTGGTTCACTCGAGAGCGGGATAACGAAGTTGGGATTGTGAGCGAATGCATAGAGTCACAAGCCGGAATTCGGGAGTCTATCGGATGTCTGGCTTTCGTTAGCAGATCATCTAGGCTGTTATTGGTTCATTTTTCGGTCTGAGGAGTGCACCAAGCGGTGACTATTGGCCGCGCGCTCTCATTGACCCTAGACACTGCAAGAAGGCTCCGTCGATGGCTGTGTGGCACTATTTTTTTTTTATTGAATGAAATACCCATTTGTGTGCAGTTTCTTTGCTTTAATTTGCATGAAAAATTTGACCATTCCTTGTTTCTTGTCAATTCTGTTTTAAATGCTGAATCAGTCTAAATCTTCACTCGCTTCCTAATTGCTCATTAAAATAAAATGCGCATTTTGAATTTGCGTGCTCGGTTTAATTCACCAAGTTTGACACGTGGTGGATCAGTGTGATGTGTAGTGCGTGCAGCACAAATCACCTCTGACAGTTTTCCCACTCTTTCAACTCTGGGTCTCTGGGCGGGTAAGGTCTCTAACGTGGCGGCGCCTTGTGTATTAAAAAATGCCATCACAATGAGCGTGATGGCGTTTTTTTACATTTTGTTCAACTCGCGGGACCCTTTTACTTGCTGGGAAGGCTTGGTGTTGTCGTTAGCGAAGCTTGACTCGGTCGCATTTCTGCTGACAACAGAATTGTTTTCGATTGGACGTCACTTCAGTTTGTGAGACCTCCTTGATATTGGGACTGAGTTCTAAAGGCGTACAAGAAAATTTCGTGGAAGTATCTAACCTCCGCTTTCATGACCACCGATTCGAAAGTGTCCTGGAGAGGAATTCTGAAATAGGCCTCATTGTTCCTTTGACTTGTAAACCTAAGCATACTTTCTCTGCCACAGAGATTGTTTCGGCTTCGTGGGACCCGATGTCGTGGAGCCAGACACAGCGTCTCGTCACTCTTCTGCGCACCTTCGCGGCCCTGTGGCCCACCGTCTCGGTGGACAACAAGGCCACCCAACGGCTCTTCGAAGCCGCTCTGCAACGCATGGAGCAGACCATCCAAATGGACGTCTTTATACCCCTCTACTCGAAAATGTACGTGTTTGTTTAATTTGCCATTACACTTAGGTGCCTTTGTGTACCAATCCGGGTTGTTTACCCGCTCAGTTGAAGTCCTGAACGGTGACTCGCGTTTTCACTTGTTTCGTGTGTGGTTGTCTCAAATGACTCAGGGATGGGTTCTTTGCTCTGTGGTCTAATTCAACAACTAGTCGGATTTAGTCATATTTACTTAGAGTTCGCTTCGCGTACGTACAGCACTCCTCACGAGATCTCAATCTGAACACTATCACACTGTACGGCCTCAAGTTTCAACACATTTTGTCTTTGACGTGGCACGCGTGCTGAGTGTTTCCTACTCACGTGGTCTCATTTTTACTCCAAAGTTTACATTTAGATTTCCTTTTGTTGATCGCACATTTTGAACATCTAGCCGCCGCGTAATTTGCAATTTTTTTATCAGTAGCTGTGACAGCCTCACAGCGAATGAATTGGATGGACTTACTTGACTCAATACAGGTAGATGGGGTGTAGCCTTTTTCCACACTCCCTGATTCACACCAAAACACTGAGCAGACACCGTGTGCATCATGGGCTCCCTGATTCCAAGCCCCAAAGTGACTATGCGGAACTGGTCGTGGATTTAGTTATCCTAAACAGATTGCCGAATGGGGTGGCCTAGCGGTTGCGATTTTCGAGCTCACGCTCTAATCACGCCCGTGTGTCGCCACCTTACTCAATTCTCCTTCTTCCAACCTCTTCGGTTTTTATGACCCTTCATTATTCCTCGAGTAAACTGCTCCGGTTAATTCTCATGTCAATCACTATTTTTTGTTCAGTTTCTTTTGTAAAAAACACAAGGTATCAATTTCGTCTCTACAAGTTCTTCAATACTATTATTTACCTAATAATCCTATGTAATTAAAAATGTATCCTCAAGGAGGAAGCCTCGTGGCTTGTAATTATTGTGCTCTGCAATTTGGCTCGTGTCCATTGCCTGAGCAATTTTCCCTCTTTTTCATAAAATCTCTAAAAACTACTTCAACTTTTTCCCCATAACAGTTGCTGGAGCATTGTTCTCACTTGAGTTTCATGATTAAGACCATGGGAAACCAAGTATCCTCAGCATGCAATTTCATGGTTATCTATGTGGTTTGTCTTGAAATACGCCGTGATTTAGGAAACTGCCTTGAACACCTACCGCTCAGAGCTACTTTGACGCAATTTCCATTTATGCGTCAAATCAGAATCAAATGGAGATGGCTCGCTATAATCATTAACTAACCTAATCTTTAAGTAGTTGCATCACCCCTTTGTGTTCAGCTTGTCCACTAACCAACTTCTTATCCAACATGATGTTTGATGGTCTATAGTGTCGATTTAGTAGACGAATTCTGCCTACAACGTCGTTTCCTTACTCATATTCTGATTACTGCGCCTGTAAACCCTGGTGAATCTTCCTTGGTTGATTGAATAGTTGTGTGGTGAAATCCCGTTGTCTAAATGGAGATGCGTGTGTTGTCGCGTTCGGTTGCTCTCGCTTGTCCTCCTTTCAATCTAGTGAATTCGCTACACATTGAGGCGTCCCCACGGCGGTGGCCTCAGAGACATTGACGAATTTCGATAATTTCTTTTATGATGGACGTCTTCACTTTTTAGATTTTTCAATCTAGCATTGTCGTGGGGCCACTTTAAATAGAGGGAGGTTGCATAGAAATCATTTGTTATACGTACAACGGCACGACAAATCATCATTATGCGTCTTGATTCCAAGTATACTTTCCCAACGCCAATTATTATTGTTGATTACAACTCGGATTATTTCGATTTAGTGGCGGAAATCACAGTTAATCAGGCGCCCCGATTTATGTTGTTAAAACGTCGCATTTGTTATCATGTTTTTGCGCTGACTTAAGTTGGCAAGTTGGGGAACATTTGAAATACTGGCCACTTCGCGGAAGAGTTCCAATGACTTCTTCGCTCTTCCACAGTCGATTTTGACACGAAATCACTCTTATGCAGCTACATTTAACCGCGGGAGTGATGTTCCGTCTTTATTTCAACAACGACTTGGTATTTACAGTAGCGTATGTAGCAATAAATAAAGTTGGTCATACAAGAACTGCGTGCTTGAAACGGCGCTCACAGGAAACCCGGCGTGACAACATAGCATCTCACTTCGTTCGACACGTTTCAGCTCAACTCGGCTTATTCCCAAGCCCGCGTCGCTACTTGGTACAAAGGGCTGCTAGTCTGTTGGTTCGGCCACGTCAACTTGGCGTCATCGTTTAATTGACGCGTGCTAGTAAGATTCTCTTCAGTCGGTCAATTTAAGTAGTTTTTTGTAACTCCTTGCCGTTTAATCCAAACAGTAAAACATCGCAATCGACAGATATTGAAACCAATTTAATAGCTATAAGCAGGCTTTCAAACGATGTCGTAAAATTGGTTGTAGTGACAAATTTACTTCTAATGATCTCATGCAATCACTTGTACCGGACATTCGGGTGGTGTTCATTTTTAAACCAACTACTTAGCTTCATCAATTCCCATTTTTGCGTTCTAGTGTTATGTCTGATCCTCAGAGTCCCGGGCGCCTCTTCTTTAATCGTCAGTTGAACGTCGCAATGAAGGTTTGTAACTTTTTTTGACAATTTTATGTGGTACTTGCCACGGTGATGCACTTCATGGCTGCTATTTTTTACATATTTGTTTTGCTTACTCGAGTCAGCTTTCTTTGAACTATGTTCTAAGACTAAGTTCCTTGCAATTTATCCCTTTTAGCTCCTTTCAAATCTTCTTCAATGGCACGATCTGTTGGCCCCTGCTGCTTTAAAACACCTCGCCTTCACCTGCCTTGTAAATCGTTACATCCTCATTGGTTTCGCTAGCCTTATGTCCACCTCGGTGGGCGAGGGGCCGAGTGAACTGGAGCTGTGGCAGGAGGTCGCCAGTCGTCTCAGAGCCATTGTTGGACAGCTCCCCGCTGATTGGCTAACTGATCCAGGGGACGATAAGTTGGCTCAATTAAGGCGATTTGTGAATCAGCTTATTGAGAAGGTGGCGCCAGAGGACACAGCAGTTCCTACTGTTGAGACGAAGGAGGAGATGACGATGAAGTAAGTGTAGTTGCAAAAACCTAGTGTAGATGTACTTGGGTCCTCATACAAGTCATCAAGACTACAGGTCCCTCACTGCGCACATTCAGAGATCCACCACGCGGTGTCTAATGCAGAGAGCTCTGCCCCTCCCCCCTTAATTCTTGCAATGAACCGTCGAAGCCTTTGTCTCAGTCTCGTTTCATTCCACCAATTCGCAATGCACTTTGGGCATATTGAAGTTACCAAGAAGGGAATATGTTGCTGGACCACGTAATTGTGGTAATCTCTCGCAACGTCACTCGCGTGTGCTGTTGTCACGATCCTGGAATTTTTTTCTGCAATCCATCACATCTTCGAAGTTAGCTGGAGTGTTTTCGGAAAACGCATTAACATTCCCCTAGTATTGTTTACATGCATTCTCAGAATCCCCAAGAAGTCTCCAAACCTGCATCACTTTTTTTATCTTTTGTGATGAAGTCTATCTCCCTTTTAGGCCAGTGTTGAAGAAACTCAAGCGAATCCAAAATCGTCTTTTGGCCAAGCCCCCTTGAGCGTTACGATAAAGTATACTCGACCGCAAATTGCGCTCACAAATAAAAGAAAATTTATGTGACTTTGTTTGTACTCTAGCCGAAAACACCGCCCCTCCGCCTTACTCTACCCAAATTTTCACCGACATGGCTTGGAAAAGCAGTACATTTTTTCTTCTACTTGCCGTTCTTTTGACCAAGTTTTTTAAACTTTCCACGAAAGAGACAGGAAAGCGGCTTTATTTCGAAGCCTGTGTTAGTCGATTTAGCTCACAGCATCTGTAAATGGGATACTAAACTAACAAAACCCACATAGTGTTTCTCGGAGTAAGTTGGGTGATTTGTATGCCCTTTATGAGTGTCTTGATGGTTCGTGGATTCGATCTGGGATCGTTTCACTGAGCTTTTCGATTTAGTCAGTTGTGTAAATGCCGTCTCGGTTTAGTCACATTCGAAGGTTCCGGTTTTGGATGATGATGTGTATCCTGCACATCGTCGACACAACCTCTGTTCACCACACGATTCTTCACTTTTATTGCAAGTGCTAAGTGGAAGCAGATTTATTTTGAAATGCCTTTAATTTCCTCTAGTGCCGTGTTGTATTCTGACCCACGAATACCGCACTGTCACATCTGTTCCACGACGGTTTAGCAACTCAATGTGCAAAACTGCTAAAGTTAAAGAGCCAGTGCATATGAACTTTGCAATCGTGAATTCAAAAAAAAATCGGTGTTCAAGATTCGAAATACATTGTAAATCATTGGGGTCTGTACGTGTTTTTGTCAAACTTGATAAATTTCATCTATCCTTGTGGGCATCTATACCAAGTTTGTCCACGCACATTTTAAAACAGCACGAATTCTGCGATCAACTTCAGGTAAGTGGGTTTAGACCGTTTGTCTTTACACGAACCTTTTACTCCTTAAGGAACCAATTTCTTCAAACAGGTTGCAGGCCCAATTGCAAACAAGACCCATATCAAGAAGACAGCCTGAAGTGCAGTTTTTCTGAGGCGGCCCATCAATAAATGCTAATTTTAATAAACTTTTGATTTGGTCCCTAAAGGCTTACTTGGTTGAACTCATGAAATAGAGGAAATCGCATCCCCGAATAACCATTGGTCCGCCTCAAAAGTTTCCCTGTTTGCTGTTAGCGACACATTCTCAATTTCAGCTAAGATAAAACATTAGCGATTAAGTGTGCTAACGCTGCGACTCTGAGCTTTCTGTATAAGGAATTAATAGTGATTAAGAGTGGACAAACCAAGCGACCGTCTGCGTACTTGAAGTGAACTTCTATGATATCGATGTTTTCTAATTATACCTGGAAATCGGCTGTAATATCTGCCAAATCTTTCTGTTCTCCATTCTGTTTGTTTATTTGTTTGATTGCAACTGGATTTCATTAAGTAATTAGTATTGTTTGCAGGTAGATGATATTTTCTTGCGACGTTAAAGCAATCTTCTTAGTTCCACCGTTATCGTGACTGCGAGGTTCTAGGGCGAGCGACTGCAGCAGATGAAGGAATGAGTGAAAGGTGAATTAATACTTGAACACGCCCACCTGGCAATGTCGGTCATATAACTTAAGAGAGCACTAATACATGGATGCAGAACAACAGTCGTTTATGCCCTCATGCCACGAAACAACGGGAGAATGAGGCAGGACGGTGCGTCCACGCGCACTTGGAGGGCATCTCCGGCCACGCCCATTTGGAGGCGGACGGTGCAGACTAATCTACGTGTGTGTGCACATCCATTAATGGTGTGTCTTAGGGCATGTGGATCTAAAAAGACCGCTTGCAGCGGGGTGGCAAGACATTAACTTCCGCCGCGATAAGTATTTATTCTCATTCGACTTGGTAAACAACCTCCAGCAATTTAATCCTTCCACTTACGCGATTTGTGTGAGTACCTTTTGAAACACTTAAGAATGCTGAGCACCTGTTCTCAGCCACTTTAAATTTTCTGCTAATTACGTCGTTTTTCAAAGCCAACGTGTTCATTCACCTTCGCTTCAAAGATACAACAAGGCTGCTATATTAACTCACTGTTAGCCGTCTACTCAAAAAGCAACAAGTGTGTTGGCTTGCAGGGGTCTGTAGAACACGTCGATATCATTCTTAGCCAGATTTATTAATTTAATAACCCGGAATTAAATTTGAAAACACCGTTTTTGGAAAGGTCGTTATACCGTCTGTGTTGGTTCTGGCCTTCTAGGTAGTAAACCTGGCTGTCATGTTTCGAATTGGCCATACGTACAGAGAAAAGCTTCGACTCTACTTCCCACGAATATGTGGTATGGTTTTGTTGTGCGAACCCGAGTAGAGTAGGTTCATAGGATAATTTTCGCACATACTCCAGTTGAGATCCGAATTAGCCGTTTTGCTCTGGTAGAGTTGAACGGAGTTCTCAACGGGTGAAGTCTCGTTAGCAAGACTTTGAATTCCCACGAACCATTGCTGTAGGATTTCGGAGTCAAAAATCGATCTGGACAAGTCGCAGCTATTCAATCACATTGAGGTCAGAGATCTAACATCCTTCAACTTAGCTTAATTTGTAACACTGAAAGAGCGCTTTTTTTAAACCAACCGCAGGATACTTACCTTTTTGCAGTGAAGCCATTTTATCACTACAGTGACCCACTCCAAGCAATGGGCTCCAATGGCACCTATTCCTCACAGATTCGCACATCGTGGTACATCATATTTGTTTTTGTTATATAGGGAAATGCAGATGTTCAAATTTTTTGTTTTTTTTTCCTGTTGACCTTATGAAACCAGTCACGAAAGCATCCTGTTGGTGTGTACAATCTACTTGGTTAGGTTACCGAAACTTGCAACATTCTACGGGCCCTTGCATAGCATTCGACCAATAAACTAATGTTGGATATTGCAATTTTGTCACAATGCCTTGGAAATTCCTGTGAAATGTCTCGTTTTTGCGTTCATTTGCAGCGATTCTTCATTCTGTGCCCTTGCGCTAATTTGATCGTGGAACATCCCTATTTAAATTTTTGTCCTGACACTGCGGTTGCGTAGGCTTTGAGTTACTCACGTTTTAGAGCATTAATCTTAACAAATAACGGTAATTGTGGTTTTAAATTTATCAGTGACTTACAGGCTGGGATCTTATGATGAATTGCTTTAATGTGGTGAAGACCTATGACTTTACTATGTTAAGACAAATCATGATGATATGTTATTCGTGTGAAGGTTCCACAGCGTATAAAGGTTCATCTCCCAATAAAAGGACAAATAATGAAATAGAAATTGGAAGCCTTTTCACTGATGGGAAGTGGAAAAAAGTGCATGATATTATTGTCTGTGGGGGATTCTATGTGTAAATTTCAAGTACGGTGGAACAATTAAACTAATACATTTGTATGAAATTCTAATAAGGCACGTGTAAGTTGAGAAACAATAAAGCATCATTCTAACCTAAATTATAGCTGCTTCTGATGTAATTAACTTGCGAAATCAATTGTTGAGGTGCTCACATAAGTAACCACTTTAAGGACTCACGCAAATGATTTAACATTTCTTACCAGATTGGCATGGACTAAAATGAATTAAAACCACTAAAACGCCCCTTTATGGTCAACACTTGATTTTAAACAGTACTTGAAATTTATGTCAAACCTTTTAAGCCACATCGAGATGAGATCAGCATCAACAAGTATGGGAACTAACCATGTAAGCACTATAGGAAACCATGGTTTGCGTGTTATCCTTGAGGAATAAGTTTCTCTAATTTCAAGTGATGCAGTTGCCGGGGACTTTTAATCCGAAAAACTGAAATCGATCTGAGAGCAGTGTCTGTCGACGAATTTTAGGCTAATAAGACAAGTGAGACCTTGTTGTGGTCCGGTTGTGCTCGAGGATGCAGAATTGGGTTGTGGTAATCACAGTTGAATCAGCCGACTTGGCATGAAGGCGTCAATGAAAATGGCCACTACCAAAACCCTTGATCGCACTTAGCAGGAACAACAAAGAGGCCATTTAGATGGATATCGTAGATTTCCGGGTGGAGGGCGGAACTGGGGAGAGCTCCGCAACCATAACCAAACCAATCATCTAGTGTGCTCACGTCTAATTTGTGCCGGATTCTCTGCAGCTTTGAATTTGATCCGTAAGCTTTTACCTACACCATTGTTCGACAACATGAAAGGCGTTGGATCCTGATTTCAAAATGAAAAATGAGATAGCAGGTTATAGCAATATGTCCATAGCTTAATAATCGGACGGAGCACTTGAGGCGAAGATGAGATCATTTTAGATATTAAGGCAAACGCAGTTAATCGGAAAAGATTTGCCTAGACGTAAATTATTCCAGTCAAAATTTTCAACTGTATCTGATTTCAAGGGGTATTTTAATTAAATCGAAATGTACTGGTAAAAATCAGTCGGATTTACCACTGACATTTTAGTTCAGCCTCCAGTGCCCAAGGTATTTTGTCAAACTTTAACGCTCTCTTTTTATTATAACATTCACAAGCAGGCTCATATACTACCAACTGTTCAAAAATGCAATAATTTAAGTGGATTGTGTACTAAACCTTTTGTTATCGCGCTTCTCTTTACCTTGATAAATTTGATTCAAACCATTATCTCGTAGTTGTTTTCAGTTGGAAGATTTATTAAAAAATTCCAGAATTTTTTGAAGAAATGTATGATGAATATTTCAGCATGGTACTTTGCCACATAAAAATGAAGGTCACTTAGTCCCCGTTGCCTCTTTATCCACGGAATCATAAATCAATGCATCACCTGTGTTTAGGTGAGCACGGATAAATGCAACTACTTTCAATAATGAATACGCGTACCATAAACGCCTTCATCTGGGCGCCCAAAGTTGTAAAATTTAAACAGTTTTGTGGTTTCTGGGGCTGTTACTGTTCATACATGAAACAGCGGAGCAGGGTGAAATTCGCTATGAAGAAAAACGGACAGTAGCGTTACTTGATAAGAAATTGCCATACACACATGCATACTAAGGGTCAATTAATGAAAAATCCGTAGA